CCTCTCCCCCTGCCCCCAGGGGTTCTGACCCTACCCCTTCCCTCTTCCCTCCCAGATTTTTTCCTTGGGCCACTGCCCCAACCAAGACTGGCTGGCCGTTGGCATGGAGAGCAGTAACGTTGAGATCTTGCACGTCCGCAAGCCGGAGAAATACCAGCTGCACCTTCATGAGAGCTGCGTGCTGTCCCTGAAGTTTGCCTCCTGCGGTGCGTCTGTCTGGGCTTGGGTGGGACTCCAGGGCAGCGGGATAGGGTTCCCACAACACAAAATAACACCCCCCACATCACACACACACACACACACACACACACACACAGTTAAATTTGAATCTTAAACAACAAATAATTTGTTACAATAAGTATGTCCCAAATAATGCACAGGATATACTTTTCCTAAAAAGCAGTTATACATCCCAAATATTGTATGGGGTTTACCTATGCTAACAATTTTTTTAAGTATAAGTATGTCCTAAATACTGCATGGGACACACATATGTGAAAGAAAGAAGGAAGGAAGGAAGGAAGGAAGGGAGGAAGGGAGGAAGGGAGGAAGGGAGGAAGGGAGGAAGGGAGGAAGACAGACCATTGGGACACCTGCACTAACGATAATTTGGGTTCCTCACGATTCCGATGTGACTGGGCTCTGAGCTCTCCGGGCGCCCCTTCTAGAAGACCAGATGGAGCCCTGGGGCCTGGGCTTCACCCTCTGGGAAATGGGAGGCTCCAGCCTCCGTTGCCCCGGGGGCTGGTGTCTCCCTAAAGGGAGAGGCCAGGCCCCGCCCAGCGGCCCAGCCCAGGCTTCCTCAGCCCCCCTCCAACCCCTGCTCTCCTCCCAGGGCGGTGGTTCGTGAGCACCGGCAAGGACAACCTGCTCAACGCCTGGAGGACGCCGTACGGGGCCAGCATTTTCCAGGTGCGTGGGGGCAGCCTGCAGCCCAGCCCTGGCAGGGTGCCATGCGCCCAGGGCCCAGGGCAGCTGCCCTGGCAGTGAGACTGAGAGCCGCTCCTGGGTCCTCCGTCTCACCTGCAGACGGGTCAGCAAACTGAAACGCCGTTCATACATCCCAAATATTGTATGGGGTTTACTCGGGCTAACAATTTTTTGTTTTTTATTTATTTATTTTATTTCATTTTTTAAAATTTTATTTTATTGATTTTGTACAGAGAGGAAGGGAGAGAGATAGAGAGCTAGAAACATCGATGAGAGAGAGTCATCCATCAGCTGCCTCTTGCACACCCCCCACTGGGGATATGCCCGCAACCAAGGTACATGCCCTTGACCGGAATCGAACCCGGGACCCTTCAGTCCCCAAGCCGACACTCTATCCATTGAGCCAAACCCATTTCGGCAGGCTAACAATTTTTTAAAGTATAAGTATGTCCTAAATATTGCATGGGACACACATATACAAAAGGAAGGAAGGAAAGAAGGAAGGAAGGAAGGAAGGAAGGAAGGAAGGAAGGAAGGAAGGAAGGGAGGAAGGGAGGAAGGGAGGAAGGGAGGAAGGAAGGAAGGAAGGGAGGAAGGGAGGAAGGAAGGGGAGAGGAAGGGATGGAGGGGGGAGGGGAGGAGGGAGATAATTTGATACAGCCCCTTTTCCTTTTCATTGTGGTAAAATGTAAAAAATCGTGCCATCTTAACCATTTTTAGGTGCACAGCTCAGTGGCATTAAAGTATATTCACACTGTTGTGATCACCGCCATCCACCTCCAGAACCTTCTCATCTTCCCCAACTGACATTGTATTCCCATTACACACTAACTCCTTCTTCTGCTCCGCCCCTCCCTACCCTCCCCCGCCTCCCTCCCGCCCCGCCATCTAGACCTGCTCTCTCTGACTCTGGCTCCTTTAGGGACCTCCTGGGAGAGAAGTCACACAGCATTTAACCTTTGTCTCTGGCTTAGTTCACCGAGCAGCACGTCCTCAGGTTTATCTGCTTTGTAGCAGGTGTCTCGTGTCCTTCCTTTTTGGGGCTGAATAATATTCCATTGCACAAATGGACACTTTGCCCACTCGTCTGTCGATGGACACGTGGTTATATCTGCCTTTTGTTGACGGTGAATCATGCTGCTGTGAACATTCATATACATGTTTTGGTGCAGAAACATTTTCATTTCTCCCGGGCATATCCCTTGGAGTGGAATTGCTGATAATTTAATCTTCGATGAAACTGCAAGATTTTCCAAATTTTCCATTCCTATCAGCAGCAGAGGCGTGCTCACAATTCTCCCGTCCTCAGCAAGGCTTGCTATTGTGTGTTTTTGTTTGTTTTAAACCCTCACCCGAGGACATACTGAGGTGGGGGGGGGGATGTGGATTAGGTTACCTTCCATACGCTCCCTGACTGAGGATCAAACCCGAACCAGGTATGTGCCCTGACCAGGAATTGACCCAGCTACCTTTCGCCCTGGACAGCGTTCAACCAGCTGAACCGCTCTGGTTAAGGCTGCTGTGTCTTTTGTATTCTAGTCATCCTGGTGGGCGGGAAGAGGTTTTTACATTGTTACAGGGTTGTAAAAAAAACAGTGAGGTTGATTTATTTAGTCTCTGGATTTAATGGCTAATGTCGTATTTGGACTTGGGGCCACGCCTGGACATTTACTGCTGTGGCTGAACGGGGAGCTGGCTGCGCCCCGAGGCGGTCAGCGTGCCCTGAGCGTGGCCCTCTGCCTGCCGGGCGTCTGCCCCGCACTCTGAGCCTCTCAGGAAGGGGCAGGGCCCAGCCCCCCCTCCCTCGGTGTCCAAATAGCGGAGGTCCTGCACCCTCACTTGTCCAGAAGGACCTTTTCTCTGGGACGTGGGTCGCTCCTTGTTCCTGGCTCCCACTCGGGGCTCTCCGATCCTGAGTCCTGTGCTGGCCCCACCTGACTCTGGGCTCTTGCTTGGAGGCTGGCGGTGGCCCCAGGCCCCTCGCCTCTTCCCTCCTTCGGACGTCCTGCAGGTGTGCAGGTCGTTGGGAGCTCGAGCAGCCTGTGGGTGCCCGCCATGCCTCACCCCTGCCTTCTCTCCTCCCTTCCCCAGTCCAAGGAGTCCTCCTCCGTGCTGAGCTGCGACATCTCTGGGAATAACAAGTACATCGTGACGGGCTCGGGGGACAAGAAGGCCACTGTGTATGAGGTGGTCTACTGAGGGCGCCCCCTCCCGCACTCCTGAAGATCCCCAACACCCGCTCCCTAGCTGTACCTGTGGGCGCCAGATCTCACTGCTCTCTGGCCAACCCCCTCCCGTCTTCCTCTGCTGGATGTGGGGCCAGATGGGCAGAGGGACTTGGGGGAAATAAATGTATTTGTCACAATTTCCTCCTGTCTCGGGCCGGGGAATTGGGTAACTGTGGCTTTTCTTGGGCGACTGCTATTGAAGGAAGGTCACTTTCTAGCTGTGAGGGTGTCTTCCTTTTCCCTGATCTGGATGAGATCATTCATTATGTGCGAGATACTGTGCTGTATTGGGCAGCGTGGCTTAAGTCTTGCCGTGTAACAAATGGCCCCCGGGTCTCAGTGGTTGAACACAATAGATATTTCTCGGGCGAGTCCATGTGGCATTCGGGGCTCAACTCCAGGTACACTCAGGGCTCCAGGCTGGCAGAGGTGCCACCACCTCAATATGTAACTTCAGGGTCCAACATACCAGGAAGATGGGTCATACGTGGCTTTTAAACCCTTAGCCCAAAAGTTTCATGTGATCACTTTTAGTGCCAGCCTTTTTAAAAAATATATATTTTTATTGATTTCAGAGAGAGGGAGAGGGAGAGAGAGATTGAAACATCAGTGATGAGAGAATCATTGATGGGCTGCCTCTTGCATGCCTCCTACTGGGTACCAAGCCCAAAACCTAGGCATATGCCCGTGACCAGAATCGAACCCGGGACCCTTCAGTCCACAGAGCCAAACCGGATAGGGCTAGTGCCAGCCTTTTGAACGGAATCATCCCATGACATTTCCCTCTTACAGAGTTGGGGTTTATAGTGGCACACGGGGCTGTTTGGGGTGGAATTGTGTCTCCTTTGAGGCCCAGAGATAACTCCTAAGAGCCAGGCACACGATGCTGAGCCCACCGTCATCACAGCCAAAGTCCCAGTCCCAGAGGTGGCCGAGCCACCAGGTGGAGGAGGAAGGGCCACAAAGACAAAGGGAACAGCACCTGCAGACTGAGGTACGCAAGGAGCTTGGCCTGGTGAGACCGGGGTGTTTGTGTGTGTGTGTGTGTGTGTGTGTGTTCCTCAGCTACAGGAGGAGTGAGGTCTCCAGATCAAGCTTAAGCAGAGAAGCCGCCGGGTAGGAGCCAGAGGGGGCGGGGCTGGTAGGGGTGGTGACAATCAGATCTGGGCTGGAAGCTCCCTTGGGCTGCCACAAGGACCATGGATTAGAAGGGGCTGGGGGACCAAGAGGGATGATTCTGGGACCTTCTGGCGGGAGCTGGCAGGGTGACAGGGTCCTGCTGGAAGCAAACGCCACGCGCAGGTGGAGTTTCTGCAGGTTCTTTACGGAGGAAGAGAATTCTGTGGTCGGCTGAGGGAGCTAGGCCTGTGGGTGCCATTGGGGACTCCTTATCCCGGGAGGACAGGTGAGCCAATGGCGATATCGGAGTCTACTGGGAGGGGGAGAGGCCCTGGTCAGCCCAGTCAGACAGGGTGTTTTCGGAAGGACCCACAACTCCATCCCTGGAATTTGCAGGAAGTGGCAGAAAAACTGACGTGAGGAGCGATTAGCCGAGGGGAACAGGAGGCAGTGCTCCATATCCCAAGCCCCCGAAGTGGGGGTTAGTGGCTTTTTTTTTTTTTAATGCCCTTGGCTGGAATCGAACCTGCAACCCTCAGTCCGCAGGCCGGCGCTCTATCCACTGTGCCAAACCACCTAGGGCTAGGGGCCGGTGGCTTTGGTCAGATTCTCAGAGAATGTGGACTCAAAGGCTGAGAGACCCAGCTGGACAAAGCCCTTCCAAATCTTCACCAGATGGCCAGGGTACACGGCACAGGGCACAGCACCAGGGCAGCTCTGCTTTTTCCAGTTGCTTTATTCCACGTGACAAAGATCCCGGCCCACCCACCATGACCCTCCACCGCTACCCCCCTCGCTGGGGGGCAAGGACCCCGAGCTGAGATGGCAGTAGTGAGCCCCTCAGTACATGATCTGGTACACGGAGGCATGTTCCCTGGTCCCCGTGGCGATGAGGCGGTTGTTGGGGGAAACGTCACAGCACATGACAGACATTTTCTCGGGAACCTGGGAGGATCGGGGAGCACAGCGTGGGGTGGGGGGGCTCACTCACCCGTGCCTGTCCGTTCACATGTGGTCCCTACGGGCCTTTGCACTGGGATCCGGGCTGGCACTGCCTGCCCCCCCGCCCCCCAGGCCTCCATGGTACCTGGAACTGCAGGGTTCCTGTGGGCATGCTGTAGATGCTGACCAGGGTGTCCATCCCCACGCTCACCCACCACTGGCCTGGAAGCAGGCAGGAGTACCAAGTCAGACTGGCAGCTGAGGGCCACCACCCTCCCGGGGATCTGGGAAACGGAGGGGACCCCCACCTCCCACACGTCCCCAAGGGTAGCACGGGGTGAGAGGTTCATGCTGATGAAGGGCAGCGGGGAGGAAGGAGCTCGGGGAAGGTCGGAGAGGTTGGGCCCCGTCACAGTGGGGGGGGCCCTGTGGCTGGCTGGGGGCCACAGAGGACTCCCCCCACTCCCTCCTGGCCACTCACCGAGGGGGGAGAACTTGAGACCGAGGATGGTGCTTTCCTTACAGCCCACCATGCGCCTCTGGTCCCCCAGGGTGGACTGCAGCCACTGCTGGCCATTGGCTGTGCCCACCAGAACCCAGTCCTCCCGGGGGCTGGGGGACAGGCTTATGATCTGGGGAGAGGTGGCAGGCAAGGACCTGGTCAGGGCCCAGCCTGGCCCAGGAGGTGGGCGGCGGTGTGGGAACCAACCCCAGGGAAGGACCGCCTGCCCACTTCCTGGCTGCAAGGCCCCAGCAAGCAACTTCACATCCCCAAGCCTTGGTGTGCTCATCTGTAGAATGGGTTGGTCCTGTCTGCTTTATGGAATTATCACGAAGACTATGCAAGTATCCAAGGCTATGTGGGCAACAGGAAAGGACATGTCGAATGGCCCCTGTTCCTCCCAGCATCACCAAGACTTGGGGTACCGCTACCCGCCCCCCGTCCCCCAACTGACCTCACAGCGTCCACCTCCTTCTCTAGCCTGGGACCCAGCTGCTACCTGGCCCAGCAGGCCCCCCGCCCGCCCAGCCGGCTCACCTGAGACTCATACTGGTACTCCCGGGGCTCCTTGGTCCTCAGGTCCCAGCACCGCAGGCAGGCCCCCAGGCCCCCCGCCCAGATGTTACTGTCTTTGACCGCAATGCTCTTGACGCCATGAGGAGGGCCCGGCAGGTCCCTGGCCAGGAGAAGCAGCAGAAGGGGGTTGGAATGGGGACTAAGCTTTCGGCCCAAAAAACCTCCCTCACCCAACCATCCCCGGCTGACAGGTGGGGAAACGGAGATCGACAAAAAAAAAAAAGTACCAGGACAGGGCTTTGAGGAAACAGCCCAGCCAAGATTTGAACCCGGGTCTTCAACCCCCCCAGCTCCGAGTTCAAGCAGGCAAAGGCGTCAGCCTTGGGATGCGGAACCCCTGCCCAGCGGGTGATGTGCGAAGGGGCTCTGGGGGGGCCCCGCCCTCCCCGGGGCCGCACCTGACCACACTGTGGTCCCGCAGGTCCCAGATCCTGATGTTGCCTTCCGTGAAGCTGGCGAAGGCCAGGCTGTCCTCCAGGTTGGCAGCCAGGGCCTGGCACGTGAGGTCTGGCGCGGGCAGCTCGTCGCTGACGCGCAGGGAGGGCGCCGTGAGGTCCCAGACGCCCACGCCCGCCAGGTTGTGGCCGCCCGTCAGCAGCGTGGTGCTGTTGGAGAACAGGAGGCAGGTGCGCAGGTAGGCGAAGGAGTCCTGGGACGGGCAGAGGCACAGGTGAGCGTCCTCCCCGCGGCGGCTCTTCCGGCTCCCACAGCCTCCGCCCGCAGCCGGCCCCACCTCACCGCTCACCTCGACGCGCAGCTGGCTCACCGGGAACCTGTCCTCCGCCTTCTGGCCGGCCAGGCTCCACACCTGCACGCCGTTCCTGCCGCAGGTGAACACGTGCCGCGTGAAGCTGCTCACGGCCGCGGCCAGCACCGACTCCCCGGGCCGCAGCGTCCGCACCAGCTTTATTCTGTGTGGGACGGCCAGCTTCTTGGGTTGCCAGGGCAACGCATCGGGCCTCTCCCAGGAGACTTCGAAGTCCTCAGAGTCCCAGCATCTTAGGAGGGGAAACCTTGGAGTCACCGCCTGTGAGCCCCTTTGCCCAAAGGGAGGCACCCATCAAGCCCTCCAGGGACTTTTCTTTTTCTTTTTCGGATGTGGGGGTTTTCTCTCGGGCCTTCTTTCCCGGCTGCGCTACACTGCGCTCTCCCCATCTCCTACCCACCTCCCTCCAAGTATTCTCCCTGTCCCGTAACCAAATACTGCTCCCTTCTGCCTGCAATGATTTGCCCCCTGGAAAACTCCTGCTCATCCCACAAAGCCCCAGCCATGATGCCCCTGCTTCCAGGCCAACGGTCTCTCCCCACACCTGGGCTCCCCTAGCTTCAGGCCACAAGGTTGGGGATGCCTGCCTCCAGCTCTGAAGCAGCCTCTCTCCCTCCCTCTTCCAAACCCCGTGAACCTGGGCTGGTGATGCTGGTATGAAAGTAACTGGGGTTTCACTTCCCTACCCAGACCCCTCTTCTCCAGTTACGGAGGACAGTCCGGTGGTGATGGGGAGGGGAGGGCACGCCTGCACCCCTGGGCTCCCCCACCTCCTGGGGACAGAGGCACCGACGGGAGAGGCAGGTCTACCACTTACATGGGCTTCAGAAGGCGACAGGTCCTCCTGGCAGGCTCCTGCGGGTGGACCGGGATCAGAGCTGAGCCATGTTGGCCCTCTCTGCCCCCGAGCCCCAGACTTTCAATGTGGGGAGGACCAGCTCATGCCTGGCTCTTGCCTGGGTCTCACCTGGGCCACATGGGACAGCATCGCCCCTGGTGCCACGCCCGGCCCTGCGCTCCCTTCCTGGAAACCTGGAGGGGAGGTGTGGGGGGCACGGGAGGGCAGAGAGCGGGCTGAGACCAGAGCAGTTTAGCAGCAGGTATGGCCCCCCTGGAATAGGCTGCCTGTCCCCTCTCCCCCCACCCCCCATCCCGCTGGAATTACCCAGAGCTTCTTCGATGAAGGATTCCACTCCAAAGTAGAAGGGTCCCACGTTCTGGCTCTCCTGCCGGCAGGAAACGGGGTCAGACCAAAGGACCTGCCCAAGGGAGGTCTTAGCACCAGAAAACCGCGGGGACGCTCAGGCCGGGAGGCCGGGACTGGGCCACGGCCAAGTCCGCGGACCCAGGCAGAGCCCCGGCTCCTTGGAGGGCGCGGAAGGGCCGCGGGTGGAGGAGGGGGGCCAATCCCGCAGAAACGTGAACACCCCGCGGGGGCCCTGCCGGGATCACCGCCAGCCCCCTCACTTACCAGGCCCGGCATCTGTTCTGGCCCTGTGATGGCGGGAGGGGAGGGAGGCGGGGAGAGACGGTAAAAGACAAGGTTCAGCCTGCGCTGCCCTCCACGCGTTCGAGGCCGCCGCCTCCCAGCCCCGGGGACACTCACGCCTGTGCCTCGATGGGGTCCCGGCGAGAATCTGCCAGAGCTGCTGGGTCAGAATATCCTGCCAAAACTGGGGCTCAGAGTCGCAAGACAACAACGTGTCTAGCTGGAGAGCCGAGGAGCCGTCCGCTCCAGGGGGCTGCTGGAACCAGTCGGAGGACCTGGTTGCCATGACGTCTGCGAAGTCTGGCCCCTGCAGACCGGAGGGCTCTGGGGGCTTGGCTGTGGGACTGGCGGGGCCCCAGGCGTCCGGGTCAGCCTGTTCGGCACAGGAGACCGGCTCGCCTGGGACCGCCAGCACCGGGCGGGCGGTGAGGGGCGGGAGGGTGTGCCCGCGCCTGCGCCCCCCCCCCACCCCCCCGGGAGGACCCGGAAACCTACCTCCCGCGGCTGGAAGCCCTGGGGCAGGCGGCATCTCTCCAGGAGCCGCCGAAAATGTTCTGTCTGGAGGAGGGAAACATTATTCCAGCTGAAGCTTTGTCATTGGACAGACCTGGGTGCGAACCCCCACTTGCAGGCCAGTTTCCCTGCGTGTGAAATGGGGATAGCCACCTGCCTTGAACATCCCGGGGTGATTACCCATCACACAGAGCCCTCTGCACTACAGAGCACAAAGCACGTTCGGGGTACCCCGAAGCCAGCCTCGGCAGGGGCCGACAAGATCTGTCCCGAGGACACTGATGCTTTAGGATGGCAGACAGCGGAGTCGGATCCGGGTTCACATCCTAACGGTTTTCTTGGAATGCCTGAAAACTAAGGCCTGAGCCGGCCTCGACCTGTGAAACTAGGAGGTCAAAGTTCAATCCCCGGTGAGGGCACACGCCTGGGTTGCGGGCCGGATCCCCAGTGTGGGGCATGCAAGAGGCAGCCAATCAATGATTCCCTCTCATCACTGATGTGTGTGTGTGTCCTTCTCCCTCTCCCTTCCTCTCTAAAATGATTAAAAACAGCCCTGACCAGTTTGGCTCAGTGGATAGAGCGTCAGCCTGCGGACTCAAGGGTCCCAAGTTCGATTCCGGTCAAGGACATGTACCTTGGTTGTGGCACATACCCAGTAGGGAGTGTGCAGGAGGCAGCTGATCGATGTTTCTCTCTATCCCTCTCCCTTCCACTCTGTAAAAAAATCAATAAAATATATTTGAAAAAGAAAATGATTAAAAATATATATATATTTAAAATAGCCTAGCTGGCTTGGCTCAGTGAATAGAGCACCAGCCTGCAGTCAAGGGCATATATGTTGGTTGCAGGCACCTCCCCAGCCCAGGCCCTGGTCAGGGCACATGCAGAAGGCAACCAATTGGTGTGCTTCTCTCACATCGATATTTCTCTGTCTTTCCCTCTCTCTTAAAATCAATGGAAAAATATCCTCGTGTGAGGATTAACAAAAAACAATTTTTAAAAAAATAAACAGCCTTTATTAAAAAAAATAATAAAGGTTGAGCATCGACCTATGAACCAGGAGGTCACAGTTCAATTCCCGGCATGGTTGTGGGCTCCATACCCAGTGTGGAGTGTGCAGGAGGCAGCCGATTAATTATTCTCTCTCATCATTGATGTTTCTTTTCTCTCTCCCTCTTCCTTCCTCTCTGAAATCAATAAAAAAATATATACATTTTAAAAGGTTCTATGGAGCTCTAACTGGTTTCACTCAGTGGATGGAGCGTTGGCCTGTGGACTGAAGGGTCCCGGATTTGATTCCGGTACAGGGCATGTACCTTGGTTGTGGGCACATCCCCAGTGGAGGGTGTGCAGGAGGCAGCTGGTCGATGTTTCTCTCTCATCATTGTTTCTGGCTCTCTATCCCTCTTCCTTCCTCTCTGTAAAAAATCAATAATATATATATATTTTTTAAAAGGTTCTGTGGACATGGAAGGGACAGAGTGACCTATCTTTAAGTTTCCTTTTTCTACCTACTCACCAGCCTACCTATCTATTCTTTTTTGTTGTTGTTAATCTTCACCAGAAGATATTTTCCCATCAATTATTTTTTTTAATATATTTTATTGATTTTTTTTTTTTTTTTTTTTTTTTTTTTTTTTTTTTTTTTTTTTACAGAGGGGAAGGGAAAGAGATAGAGTTAAAAACAACAATGAGAGAGAAACATTGATCGGCTGCTTCTTGCACACTCCCCACTGGGGATGTGCCCACAACCAAGGTACATGCCCTTGTCCGGAATCAAGCCTGGGACTCTTGAGTCCGCAGGCTGACACTATCTACTGAGCCAAACCGGCGAGAGCCTCGTCAGTTTTTAGAAAGAGTGGAAGGGAGGGGGAGAGATAGAGAAAGAGAAACATCGATGCAAGAAACACATCAATTGGTTGCCTCCCACATGCGCCCTGACCTGCAATCAAGGTACTTGCCCTTGACCGGACTCAGACCCGGGACCTTTAATGTTTGGGCCAACACTATCCACTGAGCCAAACTAGCTAGGGCTCTTCTTTTAGAATATGCTCCTCCCTACCACATATCCTCCTCCCTTTTCTCCATGGCCCGGAGCTGACACGGATACTGGGCTTTTTGTTTTTGTTTTTAAAAATATATATTTTACTGATTTTTTTTTACAGAGAGGAAGGGAGAGGGATAGAGAGTTAAAACGTCGATCAGCTGCCTACTGCACACTCCCCTGGGGATGTGCCTGCAACCAAGATACATGCCCTTGACTAAAATCGAACCTGGGACCCTTCAGTCCGCAGGCCGACGCTCTATCCACTGAGCCAAACCGGTTAGGGCCCGGGCTTGTTTTTAATCTCTCCGTCCATAGGACTGTGCAGCCCTGCACAGCAGCTGCCAGCCACGATGGCTGTGTGCACAGAGCTATGGACAATGAAGGAGGACATGCCTGCAGTGCCCGTAGGCACATTCCCGTGCTCAGCAGCCACGTGGGCCAGGGGCTTGCAAACCAGATGGCAGGAGCGCCTAGAACCAAGGACAGTGATTCCTAGAACGTGCCTCCGGCTGCGACCAGAGCAAACAAGGCCGGGACCTCCCGGCCAGCATTCCCAAGAAGGGGCGTGTGGAAACATGCGCATGTGCGGCCGTGGTTAATCCAGGACCAGACGAAACACAGCGCCAGCAAGTTGTTCTAGAGCTGCCTGCCTAACGGGGCAGCTGCCAGCTCTATGTGGCAACAGAGCACTTGACATGTGACGATGGGCGCCACTTGTTCAAGTCCAACAGCCACACGGGCCCCTGGCTACCGTTTAGGATGACGGCAGCGTTGCCTGCTGGCCTGCGGCTCCCACGGCCCTCCAGAAGCTCCCCAAAGCCTGCTGGCCCAGATCAAACCCCCAAATACCTGGGAAATGTCCTGATGCACAAAGACAAATCATAAGGAAATGCAGCATAAGCATGCATGGCAGTCGGTTGTCTCACAGGCATTCCTGCCATCCCCATTCTGCAGGCGAGAAAACTAAGGCCCAGAGAAGCAAAGCCAATTCCCCTAAGTGAGAGGAGGGTGGGGCTGGGGGGAGGGGAGGTGGCCAGGCAGTGTTTACCCGCCTCCTGGAACAGCCTGGTCCCTCCCCCCTGCCCTGCCCGCTGGGCAAACAGGGTGGTGGTGGGAGGGTCTGGGGTGTGGGAGCCTCTCTCTGAGCATGGAGCTCAGGGCATCGGCCCCCTGGGGCCCTCGGTGATGGATTCCCCAGCTGGGCCTCCCAGCTGCAGGAGGCCCAGGGGCCTTCCCCAATTCGCCCTGGCTCGTTAATGCGCAATTTACTGGCACTTTAATGCACTCAGCATGAAAAGTGCTGCTCCCTCCTGCCTGCTGGCTGGCCTTCCCTGGGGAAGGCTGTGTGCAGGCAGACGGTGGGGAGTAGCGGGAGTGGGAGTAGCGGCTGGCTGCTGCTGCTGCTGCTGCTGCTTGGGATTTTAAATGCACAGCAAGGAGGCTGGGAAAACAAGGAGGAGGAAATCGAGAAGAGGGGGAGGGGGAAGTGGGCTGCTGAGGACCAAAAGGCATCAAGGCTGCTAGAATCATCACCTGGGGGTGGGAGGACGCTCTGCTCCTGGGTTGAGCAGTAACAGAAGTGGCCCATCTTGGGGCCTTGCCCCTGCCCCCTAAGTCTTGATACTCAGTAAGAGCTCTCTGGCCCCTCCCCCAAACACGGTCCACAATCTGATTACTTCTCACCACATAACTGTTCTCAGTGACACACATCCATCACCTGGCCCCCCAACCCCCACACAGCTCCTGCCCAGCTACAGCCAGTCCTCCCTGTAGCAGTCAGACACTGCCTGCGAGCACCTGAGTCAGGTCCTGTCTCTGCCTGCAGCCCTCCAGGGCTCCCATCCCCACTGCAGTGTAAGCCCAAGTCCTCCCCGTGGCCCACACAGCGCTGCCCAGCCTGCCCGCTGCCCAGCCTGCCCTCGCTGCCTCCCGTCTCACTCTGCTCCAGGCACCAGAGCCTCCCTGCTGTGCCTCCAGCATGCCGGGCCAGGGACTGGCCCAGGCCCTTTGCACGTGCTGTTTTTCAGATACCTTCAGGGTCCGCTCCCCGCCCCCCTTCAGTTCTCTGCTCAAATGCCACCTTCTCAGCGAGTCTTTCCTGACGACCCCGGACTGCAACCCACTCTCATTCTGGTCCCCCCCCCCCCCTCCACATCCACCGGGTGCTGCTCAATTCCACGTCCACCTTGCCTGGCCCTCGCCATCTGACACTTCTATTTACCCAGCTCCTCTCACCCCGAGGGCCAGGGTTTGTCTGTGTTCTTCTCTGCTATTTCCCTGGCGCCTACAGCAGCACTTGGCAAGGTGATAGATAAATATCTGTTGAATGAATAACTGTTCTGCTTGCTTCCTGCCTCTCTCCCCCATCTGTCTCTCCCGGTTCCCCGAGCTGCCCACCCCGGTCCCTGCTAAATCGCAGACACGGCCCTGGCCTTGTGCCAGTCACATCTGGCACAGGCAGGAAAGTCCTGCCAGCGCCCAGGGGAGAGGCCAGGTGGCAGAAGGACCGGCAGGGGTGGAAGCCAGGCTTCAGCCCGGGCAAGGCGCCCTGCGAAGGGAGCCAGGGCCTCCGGTGCAGACCTGTCCCTGGCTCAGCGGTGAGCCAGGCCCTTGAGAACTCTCAGACATAAGGAAGATGGTAATCCAGGTATGTCTGGCACACACAACAGGCCCTTCAGAGCTGAGGCAACTGACCCGCAAAGTGTGAAAAACACTCCTGGACTCGTCTGAGCAGTGCAGGAACCCAGGGAGCAGGCCCGGGGAAAGAGGCTCAGAGAGGGGATGGGAGAGGCACTCCCAAGATGTGCGCATCCACTGATATCCTGGGGGGTTCTAGGCCCCACCCCCCCTCTGCCCACAGCCCTCCCGGGCTCCCACCTCCCTGGGGTAAAAAGCACAGGTCCTACTGAGGCCCAAAAAGCCTTGAATGACCTGCCCCCGCCCCCACCCTGCTTTCACCTCCTCCCCTTCTCCCCTGCCTTTCCAGGAGAGGCTGCCGTCCGCAGAGCTCCCGGTGACTCACCTGCCTGTGGTGTTCCTGCAGATCCTGCCGAACCTTCTGGATCTACGAAGGAACAGCAGGGATCACACCGGGCGGTGGTCAGTGGAAGTGGGCAGAGATCTGGAATCTGAATGCTGGTGCGTGCTTCTCTCCCGCTGTGTGACCCTGGGCAAGTCACTTTACCTCTCTGGCCCCTACTCTCATCAAAAAGGATGGCCCTTCCTACCCTCAAAATGAGAGCCAATTAGGGAGACCCCTGATTCCATTCTAGGTGTGAAGGTCAAAGGTCCTCCCAGAGACCTCTCCCCACCCCTCCTCCGTCCCCTCCTCAGCCTCTGGCTCACTCTGCTCCAAGCACACTGGCCTCCTCACCGTTCCTCCAACAATCATACACCATCCTGCCCCAGGGCCCTTGCACAGACAGCGCCCACTGCCGGGAACACCTCTCCCTGCCCTCTCTGGGGTGCAGGAGCCCTCATCCTCTGTGACCATCACTTCCCCTCAGAAGCCCTTTCTGACTACCCTCGCTCAAAACCTTTACTCATTCTCGGCTCATCATTTTCTATTTTCCTTTCAATGCTGACATTTCCCTCCCCGAATTTTGTTTTTTTCTATTTACTTATGTGTCCCTCATCCCCTTACAGCCGCCCTGTCCAATGTGGTAGCCACTGGTCAGGTGCGGCTATTTAAATTTAAACCCGTTCAACATTCAGGCCCTTACCAGTGCTCCACTGCCACGTGTGGCTGGCAGGTGTCCTATTGGACATGGTGGCTATATATTGGACCATGGAAAGTTCTAGAAAACATAGCACACTAGAACATACGCGCCTCCAGGGCAGGGACTCTAGCCATGTGCTGCGAGTTAAAGAAGCCCCTCCTTTAAATATGGAATTTCTAGCCGGGACCGGTTTGGCTCAGTGGATAGAGCGTCGGCCTGCGGACTGAAGGGTCCCGGGTTCGATTCTGGTCAGGGGCATGTACCTTGGCTGCGGGCACATCCCCAGTGTGGGGGGGTGCAGGAGGCAGCTAGTCGAAGTTTCTCTCTCATCAACGTTTCTAACTCTCTGCCCCTCTCAGTTCCTCTCTGTGTAAAATCAATAAAATATATAGTTTAAAAAAATGGAATTTCTAGTTTTCACAGCAAGATTCTTATGAAGAAAAAGTCACATGAAGCTGGGGTTCACTGAGGGTAACTCACTTGCCCCAAAGTTAGCAAAACAGATTTGTCTCGAAACCCTGTTCCTGAGGACAAACAGAACAGCCTTCCCGGGGGCTGCCCGGGGGCGCTGCCCGGTCTCTGGCTCACCAAGTAGTAAAGGCTGTCCAGCCGCGCCCGCAAGTGAGGAGGGGACCTGTGGGGAGAAAGACCAGCTGGAGGGGGGCAGGACCTTCCCCCGAATGCGGGAAAGAGGGTCCCCTTCAAGGGACCCCCATAAAGCAGCGTCCAGGTGAACACAGTTTTAATGCCGCACTTAAATCCATCTATAAAATCAAATCCATGCCCAGTCACACCCACCACCACAAAGATCAAACGTTTAAGTAAGAGCCAGGGTGAGTGTTGCTGGCTTCCTCTTTGCTTCAGGCGTCCCCGTTTGTGGTCCCGTCTTCTGGGTCAGCCATCAGGAGACCAGACAGGATTCTCTCCCTCCGTGGGGCCTGGGAGCGCAGAGGGACTTCTGACCCCCACGCACTGTCCTCACCTCGGGAACTGCTTCTTCAGTTGGTCCAGGACGGCCTGAGAGCTCAGGCCCGGCGCCCCGGCCTCAGGAGGAGCCTGCAAAGGTGGATGGAGAGTGAGGTGGGACCTTCTAGAACCTGAAGGTAATGTGCCCTCTCCCTCTCTCTCCCTCCCTCTCTCTCTCTCTCTCTCTCTCTCTCTCTCTCCCTCTCTCTCTCTCTCTCTCTCTCTCTCTCTCTCTCTCTCCCCCCGCCCGCCCTCCCTCCCTCCCTCCCTCGTTACTTAAGGGACCACAGAGTACCGTTCATTTTGCATTTTGCTTTAAAAATCTAAAGTATTCCCTCTCTTCCCTTTATGGAAGACATTTGCCCACTCCTGGCCTAAACTGTTAGCAATGGCCATCTCTGGGAAGTAACCTCTGGAGGGTGGGGAATTTTGCTTGTAAAACATGAACAGAACAGATGACACAGTCGTGTGTTTTACACCTGGGTCATAAGAACTAAGTTTAATTTTTAAAAAGCAAATGCCGCCCTCGCCAGAGTGGCTCAAATGGTTGGGCCTTGGATTCCAGGTCAGGGCACATGCCTGGGTTTCTTTTGGGCTCAGTCCCCCATAAGGAGTGTGCAGGAGGCAGCTGATCGATGTTTCTCTTTCCCTCTCCCTTCCTCTCTCTCCAAATATCATTTTAAAAAATGTAAAAAGCAAGTGTGTTTGCACCTGTCAAGTATGATGGCTTAGTGACCCCAATATAAAGGCCTGGCCAGTCACCCCATAATATTCCTCCATCAGGAGGAGGAGAATTAGCCTTGACCGGTGGCTCAGTGGTTAGAGCATTGGCTTGCAGACGAAAGGTCTCGGGTTGGCCTCTCACCCAAGGGAACATACCTTGTACCTCGGACGCATATTTGATCCCTGGCCCGGTCCTGGTCAGGGCCTGTGTGGGAGGCAACCAGTCCATATGTCTCTCTCACATCCATGTTTCCTTCTCCCTCTTTCTTCCCCTCCTCCCCACTTCCACTCCTCTCTCTCTTTAAAAGATCAATGGAAAAAAATATCCTCTGATGAGGATTTTAAAAAAAGAAAAAAGAAGAATTAGATAGGAGCCCAGCTCCCAGGCTCTTCCTCTCCCCCCAGAAGTTAATGCCATATCACACCCTCCCCCCTCACGGAAGCTCCTGGAGGCCTCACCATCCCTGGAGGGTGCCGCTGGGGGCTGGGATGGCCAGAAGAAGTCATCCTCAGGTAGTGCTCACAGAGGACTCTAAAAGCAACAAGGAAATGAAGGCCCTGAGGGGAGAAAGCTAAGGCAGAGTCAGTGACAGACCATCCCTCCCCCCACTCCCCCCACCCCACTCACCACCATCTCCCCTCCAGGACCGGTCCGCAGGCCTGGCCCCCAACCCCATCCCTGACCTCCAGCACCCGCTGCATTCTCTGCAGCTTATGTCTGCTCATCAAACACTCCAGTGCCTGCAGCTGTGCTGATTAACAGTAGGGCCCCTGAGGTCTCGCCCTTTGAGGTGTGTGTGTGTGGGGGAACAGTCAGGGCCTGGGGAAATCAGGGCTTGGGGAGGGCAGTCAAAGATTGGGGAACCCAGAAAAGGACACCAAGGCTTAACCTCAGGTTTTGGAGGCGATTCCCCAAAGGCCGAGAGAACACCATGGGAAAGGGGTTTTGAAGGATGAGTAAGAGTTGGCCAGGTGAATTCGGAGGTATTTCTCAGGCAGGAGGAACGAGACCTCTCTCTCTACCACAATCCCTCTTGTTGCTCCAGGTCCCTTTGCTTCCATCCTCAGTGCCCCTCCGTCTCCTCAGCGGCCCGGTGACCTCGGAGTCCTCCCAAAGGCCAGGGGCCTACTCACCTCCTTGACAACAGAGGCTCAGAGGAGCAAGAAGGAAACTACTGAGGTCAGCCAAGTTCAGGCCAAGAGGAAGCCCCCTCCCCTCCCTCCCCCCGGGGGCCCTTTTGACCCGTCGGGCCCCGCCCCGGCCCGCCCTGGGCCCGCCCCGGCCCGCCCCCTCCCGCCCCGCCGCCACCTGCGCTGCGGAGCGGATCAATGAAGGATCGGCAGCTGCACGTGGGTTCGGGCTCCGGGGGCGGCAGGCAGCAGCTCCGACCAATCGTAAGGCCGCTTGCCCACGTGGGCCGAGACCGCTGTCGTTGATTGGTCGGCTCGCCCGGGACGCTAGTCGTGCTGTCAATCAGCTCACCCGGGCCGCGGTTTAACCCTTGCGGTCCCACTGCGGGACAAGCGGCTGGCGTGCAAAGCCGCAGGCAGTTTGGGAGGCGGAGGAGGGCAAGGATGTTTAGAAGGGCTTGGGGGGCTTGGGGTCGGGAGGTGCCGGTGGGGAGGGGCTGGGCGGCGGGTAATTCCATTGTTTGGTGCGATGCCCGATCATTTTTCGATCATTTTTCGTGAGGCCCCGGAGTGGCTTAGCTCAGGAGATGGGGTTGGGGGTGGCACTTGGAATGGGGGCGGGGGGAATCTTCAACGCTCTCACTCTAGTAATCCTTAGATATGGGCTAATAACGCTTTCGTGGTATTAAATAACGTGCAATGCAAACGAAGCTTCAAGCCCCCTTTCCGAGGAAAGCCTAACGGCTCCCTTTTATCCAGTGCTTCTCACGAGCCAAGCCCTAGGCTGCGCATTTTATCAGGAATTTTCCCAGCTGCCCTCCAAGCTCGGGACTGCAGATGTGAGAACTGAAAGCAGCTACTGCAAAGGCCTTGAGGCTGGTACATATTTTTCCAGGTTCAAGGCCAAGGCGGGAAGAAGGGTGGACATCTAGGCCTAGGGCTATGTCAGAGAAAAGAGGGTAGGGGGTTGTGGTGTGGGGGGAGGGTGTTGAAGGATTCAAGAGTTCTGTTTGGGCCTGGCCAGTGTGGCTCGATGGTTGAGCATCAACCTTTGGTCCAGGAGGTCAGGGTTCCATTCCCGGTCAGGGCACATGCCCAGGTTTTGGGCTTGATCCCCAGTGTGGGGCCTGCAGGATTCCCTCTCATTATTGATGTTTCTATCTCTCTCTCTCCCTCTCTCTTCCTCTCTGAAATCAAGAAAAACATTTAAAAAAAAAAAAGCTCTGTTTTGGCCTGGTTTGAAATGCCTACTTAAGATATGAAGTGATCAATCCGGCCTACCCCAGGACCTTTGCACTAGTTATTCCCTCTGCCTGGGACAGTCTGACAGCCACGGACTCCCTCCCTCCCCTTCAGCTCTGCCATAGGCTCATAGCTGGCGGGGCCGGGCTGGGGCAGGCAGGGGACAGTCAAAGAAAGAACCAGTGAGACCTCCATTCTCCCTCTCTTGTTCTGTTTACTCCAAGTGTGGTTTGAATGCGAGTCACCCTTGTTTTAATCTCAGTGGCTCTAAGCCCTGCTGTGTTCAAAATTCACATAAAGCCAACAGGACGCCAACACATCCTCACGAGGAGCCACAGGCTCCTGGGCAGGTGTGCTGGCTTGGTGAGAGTCCCACAGGACCCAGGGATTTCCCATTCCCCTGAGCTGTGCTCCAGGGGGACGCCGAGCATTCGGATCCTGGGACTTGCCCCTCAGAGGCTCTGATGCAAACACAACACTTGGGCTTTGCGGCTGGGCTATGGGGGAGGACGCGAGGGCTGCCATATAGGAACCGCAAAACAGGTTTTCACCCAGATCCCTCAACCGGCCCTTAATTGAAGTGAATTTTATTTATGGTCCAACCTGCTAATTGCCTCCCTCTGTGCGCTTGGCTCTCCTCCTCTCTGTGGTTGCAGACTTTCAGCTGAGCGCACTAACTCATCCGGGGCTGGCTCGTCCTGTCCGGTTTCTGCTGGGTACCTGTCGTTGCTTAAAACGATGAACATGAAATAAAATTAAAAATTCAGCACTCCGATGCACTGGCCTCATGTCAGTCGCTGGGTGGTCACCTGTGGCCGGGGACTGTCCGCCTGGGGCAGCACAGATCTAGTCTCTTCCCGTCGCTGCAGAAAGTTTACCGAAGGGCACAGGCCTGAGGCTCTCGGAAAACAAAAGTCCTGGGTCCATGTAGAAACCGGAAGCGTTTGGTGGCAGCATTCCATCCCCACTGGGGGAAAGCCCTGTGTGTGTGTGTGGGGGGGGGTGAGGGGTAATATTTGGACATTTTGTGGGTATGTGTTCCTGCTGGTTCTTTCTTTGACTGCCCCCTGCCTGCCCCAGCCCAGCCCCGCCAGCTATGAGCCTCCTTGAGCTCTGGGGAAAGGGACGGATGACACAACCGAGAGGAAAGGAGGAAGCACGGATTTCCTTCTTGACTTCTGAGCTGTGCTTTCCTTGGGGGAAATCCAAGGTCTGGATGGAAGTTTGGAGAAAAGAGGTTTGCATTTCCAAAGCGCTGGCATTTCCCAGGCCTGTCCTGGACACCTCAGACCTGTTACCTGAGGGACCCCAGAGCCACCTGGAGTGAGTGTGGGCCATTCAGAGGAGTCAAGAAAAAGCCCAGAGCCCTAACCGGTTTGGCTCAGTGGAGAACGCGTCGGCATGTGGACTCAAGGGTCCCAGGTTCAATTCCAGTCAAGGGCATGTACCTTGGTTGCAGGCACATCCCCAGTAGCAGGCAGCTGATGGATGTTTCTCTCTCATTGATGTTTCTCACTCTCTCCCCCTCTCCCTTCCTCTCCGTAAAAAATAAATAAAATACTTTTTTTTTTTTTTTTTTTTTAAGAAAAAGCCCAGAGTGGAGAAGGGGCTGTGGCGTAACCACAGAGAGTGGCAGCAGGGAGGTGGGGATGGGCTCCCCCTGTCCCCCTCTCCTCCATCCCCAGAGCCCCCAGGGGCCCACGGGAGTGGGAACAACAGCCACGTGTCAGGAGGGAGGCAGGCGCTGCAGAAAGCCTGTGGGCAGAAGGACTCTGAACGAATGACCAAGAGCAGCGAGGGGACGAGGGCCCTCGGAAGACACTGGCCAGGACGGGAGAGGCTCAAGGGCAGGATGCCCCCGGCTGCCCCCGCTCTCAGACACCCAGGACCACGGTGGCACTCAGACCTGGCCCCAGGAAAAGTGAATTTATTAAATTGCCGGGCGTTGATGGCGGCTTGCTTTCTGCCACCTGGTGGAAAGAGGCTCGTATTCCTCCCCCCT